GGCCACAGCAGAGGATGGTGACCCCAAAATTCTGTAAGATTGTTAAGCCGTTTTTTTTTTTTTTTTTCAGATTTAAAAAAGTAGCAATTGATTAGGAAAAAATAACACCTGCTGCACATAAATGTTTAGTTGAGTTCATCACTTTCTCTGTTTTATTTGTATTCAAAACACTGGATTTTGTTAACAAAATTTTCCAGAATGGTTAAGAAAACCAAAATCTTTTTTCACATATAAACAATGACTCAAAATTAAGCTGCTTACAAGCTGACCAGGATAAGTTTAGATTCACTCATCATGCACATCTATATATTCATTTTGGGCTTTTAATGATTTATTTGAGCCATTCTTTCTACAATGTGAAATTAATTAAATAACAATCAAAGACCTTTGTGAACAACAAATTGGTGCACACCTTTAAATTTATTGTTGATTTCCTCTAATAGTGTCTGGATTAGACACAAATTTTAAAACACGTTCAAATTAGACGTACTTACCTAAATCTTTTAATAAGTGGTGCTGAATGCAAGAAGCTCTTTTAGATTTACAAAACTAAGGTCAGGTAACTTCTTACTAGATGACGACTCACTGCAGCTGGTGGTATTTATATTTTTGGTCAGAATAAAAAGATTTCGACCCACAGTACTCAGTGATCTGTTCCCCTCTCAGAAAAATGGAATTTTGTTCGAAACTGCCATGAACTCRTGGAACGCCATGGTTTTATCATGAAAAACAAACAGATATTTACCAAAATAAGAGGTTTTGGAGGAATTAAAAGCTTTCTAACCTAAAAACACTGTGCTATCAAGCATGGCGGTGGTAGCATCATGCTGTGGTGCTGATGCAGTGGATGGAATAATGACTCGTCAACTTTTCCTCCAATCAACAGCTGGACAGTTTGAACTTGAACGCGTTTGGCTGTTCCAACAGAAAAATGATCCCCAACACCATAAAAAGGCATAAAGCCTGTGATCTGATTGGATAGAGCAGATTAACATTATGTTTCTGGATCAACCATATCGAAACACGGAGAAATCCTGCTGTTATTTACATCCAAACTTTCTGCAATAATGAGACAGGAAGGTCAATTCAATAAATATGAAAAACATTTATTTCTGAAATGATCAACAAGGCATGTGGTCGCAATGATGGGAGCAATAACTGCAAACAGGTTCACAAAACAAAAAGTGTCCAAAATGATTTTAAATTAAAACCGTGAAATCCATCGAAACAGTACTTGGAAAAAAAACTTCATAGAAAAACACTCCTACGATGAAAACATTGAACTGACACAAGGCCAGATATTTATACCAACTCTTTACATTAAAACTGCTAACTGATGCAAAATACACGCAGTATTACAGTATCTCAGTTGTAACTAGTACTTTGAAGAAGTCTAGCAGCTAAGCGTGCCTGCTCTTAAATAAATAAAAAAGGTGCCCACAAGAACTACGTGTTCCTATACAGAAAAATCCCCCCCCCCCCAATCTTTTCTTCTTGGACATTTCCATATTTTCCTTATCTTCCTGAGTCGTTTAACATATTTTGGTCTTACAAAACAAAACAATAAATTAACAAAAGCACCTACAAAACATCTGATTCAACAAAAGGAGAAAAATGGGTTAAAACGGACATCGCTTTTGAAACCAATGATCAGTGTCTGTGGACATAAACTTCTTTAAAACTCTTGCAAACCTTAACGTGGCAGTTTATCAAACTTGTTGGCTCCAACTACACAACTACTGCAGACTGAAGGCACAGTAACATCAGTCCTCCAGCTTCTCCAGTATTTGGACCACAGTGGCGTGTTTTAATCTGCGACACGTCGACAGATTTGATTAGATGGCAGTTGAGTGCTGTGAAAGTTTTGGACCCCTTTTTCTTTAAAAAAAAAATACTACTTCATCACTTCAGTGCAGTTCTAAAACAATCAGAAAATAATAATAATAATTCTACAGATGAACAAAAAGCAGCACAAATGGATCAACAGCTACAACTATCTACAGCTTTAACTTTTTGTCTTTAAGACGTTGTCGTCTAAAAAGCCTGCAGCTGGGTACCAGAGTTATTCTCCTTTACTGGCTCAGACACCAGAACACTCCTAGAGCTCATCATGCCCCTCTTTGCTCTGGATGAATGTGTCTGGTCTTCCCATTAATAAAAAAAAGTGAAAAGGATTTCCACATGACCTTACCAGGACCAGTCACGACAGTTAATCTAAGAAAAAGTTGGTTTATTACACATGTGTACAAGAGGAGAGCCGTTTCAGGCACTTTGGCAACAACTAATGTAGTGGGTCTTTGTGTGTGAAAAAGTTGAATCTAAAATTGTTTCACTAAGAACTGGTGAGCAGGGTTTATGTCGAACAGTAGTCTGCTGATGCACATGTTTTCTAACATCTTTTGGCTGTTTGTGGATCTACACTGGAAATCTAAAACGAACCAAAGCTCCAGGCTAGTTCCCATTTGTGAATTTTGTCAAACTATTTACAGAAGGAAATGGTGATTTTCTTTTTTTTTTTATTTTAGTGATGTTACAGATAAAAACCTGCTTATTTCCCTCCATACATTCGCTCGATGTCAGACAGATAGTGGTTCTTCAGCTCTTTCCTCTTCAGCTTGAATGCGTCCGTAACCAGACCCGTCTCCGGTGTCCACGGCTCTGAACTCAGGTGGACTTTAACTGGAATCTCAGACCGCTGGAGTTTAACTACACGGACAGACAGCAGAAGAAAAGCTAAGTCATTATCAGCGTTTTTTTTTTTAAAACAGAACATCAATAGAAGAGGAATATTTCAACATACGGTCTGTGGTTAAAAAGTAAACAGAATCAGCTCTTACTTTTAGCAGCGACATCTTTAATCTCCCCCAGAACCTCCTTTTCCATCTCGGGATGATTGCAGAGGTCCTCCCATTTCCCAYTGATGCCTTTCTGCTTGGCCAGTTCGGTCAACTTCTTCTGGTTGGGAACCACAAAGCTGATCACATAGTTCTGATCGCTGCAGAATCAATAGAAAACAAATRTTTATAAAAAATGCAATAGGAACAWTCAAATTGTTTTATTAACCTGGTGAAGATTTGGTGCACAAGACTTGAAATGCTCTTTAAAGAGCAGGTGAAACTGTCCAGGACAATAAAACTAAACATTTGTCACCAGTTGCCATCTTGTATGTTAATAAACAAAGATGCTACCACACCAAATTATAGCTCAATATCTATTTTAGTATCCTATTTATAAATCATTCAAGATTAATTAAGAAAGCTTCTGTTTAGTTAAACTGCTCATCTTTATTAATGGGCTCTTTGTGCTCAAAATGAAAACAAATAATATCTTAAACAAAAAGAGAAAAAAGTATGTTTTCTTATTTTTTCCTGTAATTAAAGAAAGTTTAATCAAAACAGAAAGCTTAAAATGCAACATTAATAGTAAAACTCCAGGTCTGATAACTGCCACTATTTGCCACGCAAAAGTTTTGTTTATGCAAACATCTTTCATCTTCTGTACACGTTGTTTGAATAATACACTGATAGTATAAGGGAGGTATTATTCCAGACAGCGGACAGGTTTTATAAAATAATAAAGAGGTAAAAAGTAATAATAAACACATCCTCATGACTCTGTGTACATAATAAAAACATGTAACAGAAATATCACTGTCTGGTTATTTTGAAGTTCCTTGTATGTTGTATTTGGGAGAACTCGATCACTTTTTGTGATAAAAAGGAAGCTGCTCACCTGTTGGCGTATGCGCAGATGTTGTCTATGAGGCTGCAGCTTTTCAGAGCTGACTCGACTTTACCGAGGGAYACGTACTCCCCGGCCTGCAGCTTCACCAGGTCTTTTTTACGATCTAAAGGGGAGGGTTAGAGCGCCTGGTCACCAACTGGGTAGTGCAGTTTGTGCTGAAAGTACAAGCAGTGTGTGGAAACACTGGAGCAGTGTTGGTTCGACAACACATTTACACACCTATGATTTGTAGACAGCCGTCTGGGTAGACTTCCCCGATATCTCCGGTGCAGAACCACCTCTGACCTTTCTCATCCACAAAAAAGTCCTGATCGTTGCCTTCGTGTCTGTAGTAACCCATGGTTACGTTGGGGCCGCCGATCAGGATCTCCCCTCTTGGGTTYGGCTCGTCCTCGCAGGTGTAGCCCCCTGAGTGACGCACGCATTAAACATCTCGTWTCATCATCATCCCTCAATTAGGAAATACCTTCTGCTCCGCTCGGTGTGCGCGGCGTGTGTCGACATGCTTACCCTCAGCCCAGTCCCTGAGTCGGACCTCGCAGCAAATCAGAGGAGCTCCAACACGACCCGTGCTGAAGTCTGCAACTGGAGGATCAGACAGGAAGTCACTTCACGGCTTCGTTTTCCACACATCATTCTGAACATATGAAGTCATGTTTAACTTGTTCAAAACATGCACACTTAAACAGGGCGTGCACAAGAAGCTAGAATGTCTGCAGAAATAAATTAACTGTTCTTTAATTTAGTGAGCTCTTTATGTAAAAATAATAAAACATATTTAAAACKGATGTGTTTAAATGTGTCTTAATTTAATTTCATAAAAGCATGGAGCTTTGATCAAAGTCAAATCCTTTCAGGAACCTCGGTTGCTTTTTTTKGGGCGTTTTGCTTAGACACACAAAGTAACCTTCCTGCTATTGTGAAGCTTAATAATCCCAGCTCTGCTTTGACACCTGCTAGATGAAAAGCTTTTAAATCGCTAAGACATAAAACCCACCATCTCCAACTGGTTGCACATTTTGGCCTTAAAATGTTATTTCTGTATTATATTAAGTTGTTTGTGACACATGAAAACATCTAATTACTTAAAAAAAATGTATATGTTTATTATATTTTTCACTTCAGAGCATTCCCATTTTGTTACAAACACAATGAATTTTGATGATGATASATGCCACTTGAGACTAAAAAGCTTTAATGTGTGAAAATAGCTTTTTATTTTGTATTAGTTTCTATGTTCTGCACAATATGTGTAGGCCGGTCGCAAAAGACACTAAATCAATTAATTGCATGTAGGGCTGGGTATTAATAACCTCACAATTCAATTTCATTCATGTGGGTCACAATTCAATAGTGTCATTATTTTACTATTATTATTTCCTTATATTTATTAGCTCTGGAGCTAATGTAAAAGCTAAAGGGCTGAAGCTAAATTGAGCYTTCCATGAAGCAGTTATTCTCTCCTCCATCCACATTTTCAGTTGCAGGTTGAGTCATTTCTACATTCTCCTCTGTTAATGAACTCCAGCTGAATTTCAACTAGRCTGAACGTCAGACATTGTCCAAAACTAACAGTCGAGCCGGTTAGAGCTCACGCTGAGAACCTAGTAAGCATCATCATTTACCTGGATGCTTTGTTGCGGTAACTTGGCGACTTCGATGTAATATATACAGAGTTGCACATAAGCAGTGCGCAGGTGCGCTGTCAAAAAAGGAAAAAGCGCACCAGATGTGACGTCATAAAGCTCCCTTGTGTACCTAAGCTTGTACCTGATTGTCTGTCAAAACAACAGCCTAGCAGGGCTCTAGAGTGCGACCAGTTTGGTCGCAAAGGCGGCCTGACTTCTTAAAAAATAAAATAAAATAAAAATAAAATAAAAAAGAATCCAGCTGCACTGGTGTGAATGGATCGTCGGTGTGCCACAGCGGGACCCTGATATAAGGATTAAACGGAGACTGCCTTCAACAAATCAGACGAAGTCCAGAGCTGTTTTATCCAATCAGAGCAGAGCAGGGCGGGACTTTCCATGAGAGCAGGTTTGGTTGAAGCAGCGGGCCAGCTCGACTCCAGCTGCTGCAGCGACGCGATCAGCCCAGACTTCTCCTCTCCTCCTGCACTTTGCTCCTGAACTACCAGAGACTTTGGTCTGTAAAACCTAACTTTATGTTAAATACATATGTGTTCAGGATGCTGTTATTGAACAGATCTGTCCAACTCTGTGTGAGTGACTAAACTCTCCTCCTGAGAGACTGCTGTATGAG